TTGAAGGCAGTGGCTCGGGAAAATGGCAACTGCGGGCTTTCCACACCTACATGCCTTTCTGGACCAGCTGACTCCGATGCTGTGCATGAAGAGTCGGAAAAGTGCTCTTTTGGCGTTCCCGGCCTTTGAGATTGCTGGAGAGGGGGGGGGGGCTAGGGATGGCTGCATGGGGCAATCAGCCGATTGCGACCAGAATAGTGAGTTACAGTGTCCTGCAGCCAGTTGCTCCTACATCCCTCCCCCCGCCTCTGCAGCAATCCTCAAGGCGGGAACATTTTTGACTTCTCAAGCACAGCATCGGAGTCAGCTGTCCAGAAGACCATGTGGATGTGGAAAGCCCGCAGTAGCAATTTTCCCGAGCCACCGCCTCCAGTGACTTGCCAGTAAAGGAAAACAAAACTCACTTCATCAAGACCTCTCCATATCTGTCCTGTGTTATCCCCTGTGGCATCCATATTGACACCTGAAATGCTCTTACCAATCAAGTCACACCAAATGTAAGGTGTATTTACCCGGGGTCCAATGTAGCATATCGGGGTGGGAAGAAATACGAGCTTGACAGATAAAACCACAAACGACATCTCGATTATTGCCGCCTATCTCAGCAGCGGCTGAAATAGGTGTTGAACAGGTTTCGGCCTTTGTACATCTTGGAATTACCTTCGGTGTACCCAGGTAAAGCAGTCAGTGATTCCTTTGTGCTTAACTGAGCTATCAAGAGAATCCCACTGAGACGGTATGCCTGATCCTCAGTAACCTAAAGAGGCATTGATTGCAGGTGAAATATTGAAATTTTGACAGCTATATGTATAGTGAATAGCGGTCCCATTTTCATCGAGGGGCGGGGCGAAGAGTGGAGCAGAAATTTTTTTGCGTTAAGCGTGCAGCTTAGCTACTTCGAGCATTTTTTGCGATGCTTCCTTGAACTACAGCGAGCCAGAATACGCAGGCAGCTGAAGCCGCCCGTCCAGAAAACTATATACACCGAGAACTCGAGTAATCGTAATTTCATGGTTTCGCAAAATTGTCAGCCAAAATTTTTGAAGAGGTCAACAAAATGCTTTTGACCAAGCTCTAGGCAAACCTGTCGAAAAGTCGACGCTATAGATTCTGAACCTTGCACAGCGTGGACTGTGACCAAGTCCGCCCATTCTGCTATACGCTGAGCTCCTTTCAGCTGCAGTATGTTAGTATTTCCGGTATCTCCAAATTTCCTAAATTGACAAAAATAACTATGTAGGTGCAAAACACAACAACAAGGCAATGAGTAATGTAAAAGGCGGACCTGTCTTCAAATATAACAAACTCATGATCGCCAGCCAACCTAACAAGCTTCGTTGTAAAATCTTCGGAAAAGTCCGTGATTGCGTCTGCGTGCACCTTTATGGCTATCACAAATGGACCAGCTTTTTCAGCTAGCTAAACAACAATTTGTGCCAAACATCGGAAATAAATCCGATTCTTACCTGTAGAACTTTCTCAGATTCAGTATAGTCTATGGCTAGGCAAATATTAGAGTTCTTCTTCAACATTAGCGAGAATACCTTTTTGTTCAAAGGACAAGTACTTTGCTGTGCTCGTTCTTCCAAAGGAAGTCGACCCTAGAAAAGACTCTCACCGCAATAAGATACCTCGCCAGATCTCACTAACCAAATTGCAATAAGGGAGGTTAGTTAGTTTCTCCATTTCTGATGCGACTTGAAGATGCCTTATCTCTTTAAAAGGAAGGTTTAGCGCCTGGAAATTGAGTGTAATCCGAGAAACCGGCTGGCTTCACAAGCTTACCGATATGATGTTTGTAACAGCATCTTCGGTTGTTGCTCCTACAGATGCAAGAAAAGTCAAAACGATTTCCATGTTTAGGAGGCTAAAAATTTCAGTTTTCTTTCCATCTACTATCGTTTTTGAAAGTTCGGATTTCTGAAGAGTAGATTTGAGGTTGTTAGGTCATTTGGAAAAATTTCCAAAGTTTTCTTCTAGTGAGCTATTTTGAGTGAAATGGCTGTCCAAATTTCATGATTCCTATATCTCGTTAGCCTGTCTCTTGCACACGCAATACTTGATCCTCTTGTGTGATGAAGTTGCACGAACTTTGAAACCACAACAGACTCGATCCACTTCATCTATTTCTCAAATGCTATTGCTCAAAATAGTGAACTGACCAAAGGCGTAGTGGATGGTGTAGACCAAGTGGACATCTGCTTCGCTATTGGTCAGTTCACTAATTTGACCAA